TATCCTTATTACTTTTTGTTTAAACTGACCTAACACATCACTGGACAGATCTATAATTCTGCCATACACCGTCATGCGATTGATGTCGATGTTTTCAGATGCCTTCACCGCATCGAGACACAGTTGTCAAGCATCAACAGACACACATATTCCACAAAGTCAACACCTGTAAAGTGAGGTTTTTCAGCAGCAGGTGTGCAGCCTTGCGACTCACTTCAGTTATATAGTGAGCTTTATGTGGCTTCTGGGGGACGTATTTTCTGAAGATTAACTTTAAGCATAGCTTATTATTCAGTATTTTCTGCGTACTAAGCTCACCTTGAAATTTGGTAGCGCATTGTGCGTCGATTACTAATGTCTTTGAAAATATTAATGGCTGAAAAATCAGATATATTGTGTATATAGAGTGAAGACAGTGGAAGCTTTATAAAGCCAAAAATCATTGGTAATTTAATTTTTCGAGTTAGCTCAAATTTTTGCTACTTCTTGTACGTGCATGTGCGTATAAGTGTGTGTGTGTGTGTGTGAATAGGTACAAGTATACGTATGTGGGTGCGAGAGTACGTGTGTGCATTTATACGCGTATAAATGTTGGTGCGTGTGTGCCTGCTGGTGCTTGCGTGCATGAGGATGTGTATGTGCGTGTGCACGCATGCGCGTGCGTGTGCATGTCATCTGGTATCGACTATCAAAATGACAGAAAACTGACATGGTAAAGCACTCTATTTTTACTTCCTCGGTTCAATATAACGTGATCACATGATGCTGCCTTACTCACTTGACTTATTATGGTCATTAATTCTTTCATTTTACATTTTCACAATGGTTTTACGTGGTTAGGGTATGAGTTCCTGCCTTTATTTACAAGCTAAGAGCTGTTACCTACCTCGGCTAGCACTCAGTCACTCGTGTTCTCACTCTCCAGCATCTAACGCAGATTGTTTGGATGTTCGGAGGAGTGATCTGGACAGGTTGGTTGGCGCTGGGGTCAAAGACGTGGAAGATGAGAGTCAATTTGGACCAGTGTATAACAATGCATTTTAAAAATATAAATTTCGAACATGATTACAAAATGTTTGGACATAAACTAACTGAAAACAATGAAGAAAAAGGGCTTGGAATAATAATAATAATAATAATAATAATAATAATAATAATAATAATAATAATAATAATAATAATAATAATAATAATAATAATAATAATAATAATAATAATAATTAATAAATAATAATAATCTTTATTTCTACAAGTACATGATGCAACTTATACATACCTTGCTGACATCAATGATAGTCTACATAGAAAGCACCTTGTTATTCAGAACATTTCGGGCAAATTTGGTTACTTTTGTCCCCAGATTGCAACCCACACCAGTTGGCTAAAACCCAGGTACCTACAGTATTGGCTTCTAGATGAACAGGGACAGCAGGTGTCTTAATGAAACACGCCTAGATGTTTCTACCCGTACCGGGGATCGAACCAGGACCCTCACAGTGAGAGCCGAGTGCGCTACTAACCTAGCTACGACCTCAAAAGTACCTAACAATGTCTATCTGCTAGTAACAAAGCTCACAGAACGTTAGAAGTCACAGATAGAAACTTGAGCACAAAACACCAGAAGCCCTATAGACTCTCTACAATACATTTGTTAGACCTTATTTTGAATATGCCGTCTAGTTTTGGTCTCCATATAACATAAAAGACGAAGATATATTAGAGAGAGAACAGAGAAGAGCTACCAAACTTGTACCGTCACTCAGCAGCAAACCGGGACTACGAGATCTCATTTAAACCTTTATGATACAGAATGGCTTTGACATATTCAGACACGAAGAACTATTTAAAGTACTGAATGAGTCGATAAGTCGGAACAGTGAAAATGAGACTTCGAGGCACAAAATAGAACACAAATATATACAATAATTTTTTTTTTGTAATCAGGATTATAGCAGAATTGAACAGACTACCGGTTCATGTTGTAAGCGCAAAGACAATATCCGTTAAGAACCAACTGAACAAGCACTTTACAGGTATAGGAATCAACTATATTGTGCCTAGGAGGTGTGGAGTTACCCGAGCCTTCAGGACCTGCTTGCTTAATATATGATAAGTAACTGTGATCAGTAAATTATTAGGAACAATGAGAGAGAACAAGAGTGAGATGTTGCCTAGGATACTCGCTGTCTTACTCAACCACTCGTTGCACTCACACTAAACCCAAACTACATAAGCAGACCGTCGTAAACATACAACAGATGGGAGAACTCTGAGGTCAAGAGGTCCCTGATGTTTGTTCGGTGACTGCATCAGGATGATCAGCTCATAAAGGAACAACTGAGTTAATAATAGTAGCAGTAGTGGTAGAGGTAGAGGGTTTTGAGAGTCACAGCAGAACTGGTGGTAACCAGAGGTAGAACTACTGGTACACACCCTGTGTGAGTGACAGTGGAATAACACGAGTACTTAAGATAGTAACTGTACTAAATTGGTAGATGAGGTAACTTACGTCTTCCATCAAATTTCAGCTCTCCTGTTAGTTCCATGCCAGCTTTCCAATGTGGTATCATTTTCCCTGTTTTATGCAAGCAGTGACAGAAAGGTGAGGAGAGAGCCTTCTGCTTCACAACCCTTGTCCTACAATCCTTGATAATACATGATAGTTCTTAATCTAGATGGCAGTAAACAGTTCTCAGCAGACAGACTCTGTGTTGACTCCCAGGTTCTGTGCAATCCGTCTTTTCACGTACTCTCTCTCTCTCTCTCTCTCTCTCTCTCTCTCTCTCTCTCTCTCTCTCCGTAACTCTAAGGCATTATCACCTATTTCCGGGTTGCCGTTATTCAGAAAGAAACTTGAAATAGCACACTAACTTTCACCTTTCTTTCATTGCTAAGCTTTCCTCAGCTCCATTCCTCTCTTTCTCTTAGTGTTACAAGGGCAAATAAGTTCAACTTCTCGCTCAGTCAATTCAGCAGAGAGACGTGTGTTACTTGTCACGCTGGCTGAAGTGTGACATGTGACGTGTGATGTAACTCGTCACAGGTGTGGCACCTACACAGATTACTGTGTATGTTATAACTTTAGCTGACAGGTGACCTGAGCCAGCTGACAGGTGACCTGTGCTACCTGACAGGTAACCTGAACCATCTGACAGGTGACCTGTGCTACCTGACAGGTGACCTGAGCTACCTGACAAGTGACCTGTGTTACCTGACAAATAGCCTGAGCCACCTGACATGTGACCTGAGCCACCTGACATGACCTGTACTACCTGACAGGTGACCTAAGCTACCTGACAAGTGACCTGAGCCATCTGCACTGGTCACCAGTGCACCAGTCCCTCATGCCTCGTGATATTTTCAGCACGACCTTGGCAGGTTTGGTTAACCCTCTGCACGACCCTTATAATTACCCTCGTAACCCCTCATTAACCCCCTATGACCCCGAAATGACCCGTCCTGACCCACCATTTAATCCCCTCAGGTTCAGCTAATACCCGCGTGAATCCGCCAGGCTTCAGCTAAATTAGCGTAAACCCGTCAAAGTTCAGTTAAATCCAGGTGAATCCGCCAACCTTCAGCCAAATCCACGTAAATCCCTCAAGCTTCAATTAAATCCACGTGAATCCACCGGCTTTTTTTCTTAAATCCGGATACCCTGCAACACTTCCTGCTTCGGGGCTCTGCCTTGCGCCACTAAATGACTGTGATTAGTTCAACGTAATTATGCATGCTGGCATGATGCATGGACTCCAAGGTGCGATAGAGGGGCGTGATATAGACATTCCCTTCCTGGTCTCATGATGCTGTCGAAATAAGCTTTGTTAACAGCTTACTTCCAGCTGATATCCAAGGTGAAGCTGATTGTTGGAACTTTGAAGACAGTCACATAGTTGAGATTCATTATTTGGCTCTTGTTAATATGTGCAGTGTTATAATCAAGTAGTTTGTGGCATGACAAACAGGAAATAATAATTTTTAAAAACTGAATATTATTATTAACAATAAAGATAATAATAATAATAATAATAATAAATAATAATAATAATAATAATAATAATAATAATAATAATAATAATAATAATAATATTAATAATAACAATAAAAATAATAATAATAATAATAATAATAATAATAATAATAATAATAATAATAATAATAATAATAATAATAAGTAATTATAATAATGAAGGTAGTAAGTTGATAAACAGTACGCAGCTACGGGCCAGGACTGCTGGTCCCTTTCTCTGCTTCAGAAACCCATAAGATGACGGATACATCTTGCAGCTACTGTATCCACACAGTATATACCACATACACGTGAATGTATGGGTTCATGTGAGTGCATACACATTCACCCGAGTGTTGTTCTGATTTTCTTAATGGTCTTGTCCTTGTAGTATTTCCTTTCATTTCCGTAAGGAAATGGGCTAGAATCCTTTACCGTAACTCATGCGTGGGGTGTGAGACTTAAACACCGAGAACAGCGTGCTAGTGACACCCTTCCGTATCAGTTACTAGAAAGACAAGGGTGACAATTTCAAAGTTGGGGTGTTTGAATGTACGTGGTTTTGGTACTGATGTTGAGAAAGAATTAATTGTTAATACCATGAAAGTTAGTTGGGCTCCTTTGTGCTGAGAGAAACAAAGCTAAAAGGGGAATGGGAGAATTTCCCTGAGTAGAAGTAAGTGAGGTTAATGTGATTATTTTACTTCAGGATGCCTTAGTTATTACTGACTTGAATATAATCAATAGTAATAGCAGAGAGAGAATAAGTGTGAGGAGGAAAGAGACTGATACATTTATTTCGTGTATCACATACATGCACTTGACGTATTCTGTTATGCCCTACACGAAATGTATAATAAAAAAGAATAAAACAATTTGTCTTCGACGAGTTTAAACGTTGGTGGGGGAAAACAAGGAAGGTTACTCACAGAAAACGAGAGGCTGGTGATCTGCGAGAGCTGACGATATTTTTAGCTGAGAGCAGCTGAGGATGGCTGTTGTGGCTGTGTTAGTCGCTCTCTACGAGTGGAAGGGCTGTAAAGCCCTTGTGGCTTAGCGCTTCTTTTTTATTATAATGATAATAATACGAGTGGAAGGTAGCTCGGTGCTACTTACTCACGGTGCTCCTGTGACACAGGCCGTCTTAAAAGTCCACTCAGAAGAAGTTTGTTAAAGCTTGATAGGAAAAGCGATTGTGGAGGTGACTACTGGCAAGTCTAGTTCCTGTCGTTGCGGTTATTAATGAGTGTCACAGTGCCGCAAGACATTTGTGTGTCATATACAAGTGAAGTCAGGTCGTGGTGTCATAAGTGCCCTAAGACACGTTGGCCATATGCAAGTGAGGATAGGTCATGGTGTGACACTACTTCAAGATACGTGTTTCAGAACTATGTGAGTACCTTCAAGCCCCGTGCGTGCGTGAGTGCGTGAGAGAGAGAGAGAGAGAGAGAGAGAGAGAGAGAGAGAGAGAGAGAGAGGAGAAGAGAGAGAGAGAGAGAGAGAGAGAGAGAGAGAGAGAGAGAGAGAGAGAGAGAGAGAGAGAGAGAGAGAGAGAGAGAGAGAGAGAGAGAGAGAGAGAATCATAGTCTATGGTGGAAAGAGGAGAGCGTGGCACAAGCACTTGCACTAGCGTCTTGGTCAGTTTTCACACAGCTGAGATGTTAAAAATCGAACACTTCTCGTGTGCACAAAGGCAGGCTACCCTCGTCTCTTCACAGTTAAGTGCATAACCACTAACACCGCAGAGCTCCTTGATGACGCAGGGAGTCTCTTACTGCATCAGCCGAGTGTAGGTTATATTAATAGCTATATAGTCGCTAATATAATTAAATCAAAGTTAGGTTATTAAATCATAGTTAGGTTATTAGTAGCAATGCGTCGGAAAACCAGATTTCTTAGGGAATAATGAGTTACAAGTGCAGACATAGTTAACGACCGTCATTATGGTCATTAACCCTGCCAGTAGCGTAAATGTGTCGTTAATAAACATGCTACATCTGTATGGCTTTGTTATACTTGCCACTTGTGCTACAAGTCATATGTAACTTAGCCATAACATACAACCTTATCTGACTGTATTTTCATGGTTCAGTGACTGTAATGGCTGGATAACTATGTTATGATTGTGTTATGATCATGTTATGGTTGTGTTAAGACTGTGTTATGGTTGTTTCATGACTGTGTTATGGTTATGTTATGGCTGTTATGAGTATGTTATGGTTGTGTTATGACTGTGTTATGGTTGTGTTATGATGTTATGGTTGTGTTATGACGACGTTATGGTTGTCTTATGGCTGTGATATGGTTGTGTTATGGCTGTGTTATGACGATGTTATGGTTGTGTTATGGCTGTGTTATGGTTGTGTTATGGCTGTGTTATGACGATGTTATGGTTGTCTTATGGCTGTGATATGGTTGTGTTATGGCTGTGTTATGACGATGTTATGGTTGTGTTATGGCTGTGTTATGGCTGTGTTATGACGATGTTATGGTTGTCTTATGGCTGTGATATGGTTGTGTTATGGCTGTGTTATGACGATGTTATGGTTGTGTTATGGCTGTGTTATGGCTGTGTTATGACGATGTTATGGTTGTCTTATGGCTGTGATATGGTTGTGTTATAGCTGTGTTATGACGATGTTATGGTTGTCTTATGGCTGTGATATGGTTGTGTTATGGCTGTGTTATGACGATGTTATGGTTGTGTTATGGCTGTGTTATGGCTGTGTTATGACGATGTTATGGTTGTCTTATGGCTGTGATATGGTTGTCTTATGGCTGTGCTATGACGATGTTATGGTTGTGTTATGACGATGTTATGGTTATCTTATGGCTGTGTTATGGTTGTGTTATGGCTGTGTTATGGCTGTGTTATGATTATGGTATGACTGCCCTGAGAGCGCACCATGAAACACGCATTGTTTATATCACGGTCGTCTATTAATTCAAAGCTAACGTGGTTCGTGGAATTGCAAGAATCTGTCATGTATCAACCAGTTTAGAAGACTCATCGTGAAAATATCCTAGAAGCAGTTTTAACTACTGATGAGGATTTAGTATCAAACTTTCTACTCTGCGAAGAACTTGGTTCAAACAGTCAACCTCAACCCTCAAAAACATATAAAACCCAGATGTACACCCGTTAAGCCTTTTAGGAAATAGTTACTAGGCTTTTATTTATCCATATCTTTTTACGCAATCGTTCACAGGATTGATACGGAATGCACATTACAGCAGCCACTACCGTCCACAGAACAGACAAGAGGGTACACACAATAAACTAGACGGTCCGCCTGCAAAATCTGTGGAAAATTGCATTTATCTGAATGTAACTCATTATGTACATAACAGTAAATGATAACAAAGATAATTATTATTTATCAAAGTTACATAGACAAGTAGGAATTTGGGACACCTAGGTCGCAAAAATGTCCCCCTTCGATACCTACAACTGTCATATCCACAAGTTGCTCTAGACCTATTAATTACAAATGAAATATGTATCACCAGGAATTCTGGTAAATATATAAGTTTGTGGACTGTATATTAAAATTAATAAATGATTATATATACACACATTTACATAACAGAAGGAGAATATATCTTAATATCACTCACCAATTTGACTGGAGATTAATGTGTATCATACTCAAAAACCTCATTCTAACTAAATTTTTGATGATAATACTGACCAGAATTATAACACAAATCTAGATAGCTTATCTGAGGTTCCTGGAGCTGTCTTGTCCAGTCGTCTTATATCTCAAGTTATGCAGGAATGCACATCCAACAATTTCGGCTCCTATTTGAGAGGTGTCAGCCCAATTTTAACCTCTAGAGCACGAAAATTCTTCCGATTATTCACTAACGTTTGTGTTGTTTCAATTCAAACATGGCGAGTCTCTTCTGCGCAGCCGCAGAATTTCCCTTTTTTTTTATAACATAATTTTTATTAAATACAATATAGGCCATCTATTTACCTATAAATTACCGTATTTCCGGAAAATATACAGTATTTTCCACAAAATCCATTACCTATGAACAAGTACCACAACACGGATATGTAAACTTTGCCGAAATTCGGTGAGTTTTTATGTCCAACTTCGAGTAAATCATTAGCAAACACCAACTTGCCCGAACTCTGAGCAAAGTTTATCGATGTATATAAATTGTGAGAAAGTTTTCACGTGCCAGACAACCAGACAAGCAATTTAACTAATGAACCTAGTTGATGGAACACTGAAAGAAAAAGTTGACTCCCAGTAAAACGTCACATCATGTACTGTAAGAAATTATAAGTCACTGTAAAAAAGAAAGAATTGTTTTTAGGGAGTGATTACAAGCTTAGAGTTAGCATAGGAAAGGTTTGTCAGGAAACAAGACAAGTGTTTCCTGACGCGGTTCTTAGTCATATGATGACCTGCTGCTGGAGCTTTTGGTCATCTGACCGAGGCCTTCCACTGGCTTACCGGTCCACCCCTTTATAAATTAGGGTTATGATTATAACAATTTTTGATGTATGATAACCTTAGAGTGCTGGTGTACTGTGCTCAGGGAAGGTCATAGTGGTACTGAGCTATGGAAGATCTGATTTCCCAGTTTTATTAAATCAATTGGGATATTAGTCTCCATGCAGTAACTAGAGAAAGTCGCTTCTGATTGCGTTGAAACTTTAAAAGCAGGTGTTTCTTACTTGGTGGAAGTTCGAATTAATTATGTCATTTTTTTTTTTTTGAAGAAATTTGGATGTTAGTTTAGATGCAATAGTCGTGAATGCTTCTTTGAATTGACTTCAAGTCTTCAGCGCTAATATTTACTTGCTAAGAAATTGATGCCGCACATCCTTATGTGCGCATCGAGGTAGAGAAACGCGAGCTAATGTGACGAAGGGGAACACTTCCCTGGCATCACCCAGCGACCGAAATATATCAGGTTAGTCTTTGTAGATGAATGGTTCAGAGAACATGTGTCTAATTTATCATCAGGTTAGTCTACAACCTGAAGACAGTGAAGAACTTGTCGGTAGTTCTCACTTTGTTTAAAGGAAGTTTATAAGTCTTAAAGTTTTCATTTTTGTAATTAACATGTTGCATACAAGGGAAAAATCATCGGATCGCAGTGATTGAATTGTTACCAAATTTTGAGCACCTCAGTGTAAGAGAGGAACTGTAGTGTTTTCAAGACCCTTGACCTGAGGTCACTTGCTGCTGCTGCTGCTCAGTCTTTACCTAGTGTTAAAAAATTTTGTGTAATTCTCAACACACACACACACACACACACACACACACACACACACACACACACACACACACACACACACACACACACACACACACCCACACACATCACCACTCACACACCACTCACCACACACTCACACACACACCACACACACACACACACACACACACACACACACACACACACACACACACACACACACACTACACACACTCACACCCACTCACACACTCACACACCACACACCACCACACACACACACACAAAACACACACACACACACACACACACACACACACACACACACACACACACACACACACACACACACACACCACACACACACATACACACACACACACACATACACACACACACACACACACACACACACACACAACACACACACACACACACCCACACACACTCACACACACACACATCCATACATAGCTTTAAGCAGAGGTACGATAAAGCTCATGGTTCAGGGAGAGTGACCTAGTAGCGACCAGTGAAGAGGCGGGGCCAGGAGCTTGGACTCGACCCCTGCAACTTCAACTAGGTGAGTACACACACACACACACACACACACACACACACACACACACACACACACACAACACACACACACACTCACAACACACACTCACACACTCACACACTCACACACACACACTCACACTCACACACACACACACACACACACACACTCACACATAAGCAAACACACACACACACACACACACACACACACACACACACACACACACACACACACACACACACACACACACACTCACACACACTCACACACACTCACACACACACTCACACACACACTCACACACACACACACACACACACACACACACACACACACACACACACACACACACACACACACACACACACACACACACACACACACTCAAATACAACAGGCCTAGTGTCTAATCGACATGTGGCTAGGACAAAATGGTAACTAACTCCATATTTTGGCATCACACAAAGATATGAAAATTAAATACGTGCTGATAGACTTTTATACACAAAATTCTTTAACACGAGGTAAGAATGAGTGGCAGCAACAAGTGACCTCAGGTCAAGGGTCTTGATAACACCGGTGCTCCTCTCTTACACTGAAGTGCTCA